ATTCAGTTTCAGAATCTGTAACTTTGAACAGCAGAGTAAGTGCTCTCAAAAAATTAGACAAACTCTTTAGAAATGATTAAGAAACAACTACAGCTTTTGCAAATTTTTCCATAACTGTCCCAAGTTTTAGAGCATGGAGCTGTCCCGAGTTTTAGGGCATGGACTCATGGAAAGCAAAGCACAGCTTGGTGAAACTACAGAACTTCTGATGTGCTAAAGGTCACCATTCTGATGAAAAACGCCAACTCCATGTTCCTGAAATTTGCTATGAATTTGCCTTGAAGAAGCTTACTCATATTTAGATTTTATAACTAGAAATTAAAGCAAAACAGGAAAACAGCTCGCTTAAGAAATTATTTCATAAAAGCAGTAAGTGAGGCAAAGGCTAACAAATGATCCTTTTAGTTACTTAGGTTTGAAATGCAAGGACATGCTGATACAGAAATTTATAATTTAATATTGTTTCAGGCAGACTCATGCTATAGTTTGTAAAGATACAGTGAAACATTCCTTTATGACAATGTTTTTGGGGTTTTTTGTTTGCTGGTTTTTTGACACTTTTGCCCACAATTTCACATACACACATACAATGCATGGATATGAACACAATAAAGCATATTTACATAACGGTCACAGAAAACTGACTAGTATTTCCCAGAAAGCATGTTAACAGAATTACTACCCATGTTGACAAAACTACTAATATATCCATTTTCACTGAAAAAAGTGCTTGAAAATCCTAAATCACACAAAAATCTTTCTGAAACTGAGAGCTACAAAATTCTTAAGAAACACGCAGAACACACAAGAACTTATACTGGAACAATCTGAAAAAAAAATTGTAAGCAAATTTAAATAATCTAAGTAAAATGGTATATGACCAGAGTGGACATACTTTCCATGGTTATTTTTTCCCTAAGCCATTTTGGTAGGCTGACAACCACACACAGCAATGAGCCAGCCTTTTAACTGTGTGCTAGGATCACTTCTTAAGTTAACAAGAGCCTTTTATTTTTTATTTATTTCTGTAACCCTTGGGGTTTCTTTTCCCTAGACAGCTCTGGAACACGTGCTGGACAGGCTGTCATTACTTGCATTATTAGCTCTGATAAGCACACAGCTCTAGGTGGTATAGCTGCAGGCTAAGGTACCGGGCTGGCTACAGATGGACCCTGTGCTCATGCAGAGCACTATTGAATGTACAGGGGCTCCCCATAGGGACACATGTGAACCCAGCCTGATCAAGCCAATTGTAAGGGCCCATACTTGTGGAATAGCCTCATTTCCTACACTACTGATGCATTTATCACAATTTCCTAAAGACAAAAAGAAACAGAGGTCTACTAATAGGAGTTTCTCAAACATGAACTTAACATAAAGCAGAAAAATCCTACATTGAGAGCAAGTTAAATGAGTAACTCTGCCCTCAGTGTAAACAACTCCATTTCATGCATGTGTGTACACTCCACAGCACACAAACTAAGTCACAAGAGCTTTGATTACTTAATTACACAGCTTATGTTCATAGCTTATAATTGTTTACAGCATAAAAAGCATAGCCTCTTTACTCTGATTAACACCTATCCCTGTGTACTAACAAGACAAATTTATTCCAGGAATAATCTCACAATGGATTTATGAGATGGTAAATCTACTGATCACAAAACTGTTTAAGCTTCATCTCCCATGGTTTGGTCTCTCCCCTCCACCCAGATGAAAAGGTGTACAACAAAATAACTGAAGCTCTGCTACCACCTTTTTATTTTAATAGAGGTATTAATGTGGGGTTTTGCTCACCTATTTGACGAAAAAAATTGTTTCAGAAATACTCAGTTTCTACTTCTAACTTTCACACAATTTGATCAAAGTTGGTGACAGGTGACAGAAGAATTATGGGGAGATGGATGCATCCACAAACCTTATTTTCCTAAAGATACAAAACTAAACTCTACACAGGAGAAAGAAGGAAGAAATTACAATTTTGCTTAACAGAAAAACCATAACATTTGGCTTTAAAATTTATGTAGGAAAAAAGATGGAGAAGCTGCGAGGTAATGGTTCACAGCTCACAGCTCAAGAACCTCCAATATTGGCTGCTGCCACAGAAAATGATGCTGAAACCAAACTCCTCATGTTGCACAAAGTTCAGAGGAGAAAAATACATTCACACTGTGCCTTTGGTTAACCTCAAACAATATTATACAAATAGCAAGCTCTCAAAATACTTTTAACCAACATCTTTCAAACCATCCACGCCACTGTAATTGCTTTTCATCTTCATTTTTTTTCCCCAACAGGTATAGAATTCAAAGTAAAAATGATTCAACTATTGTTGAATATAACTGAACAATATATAATATAATATAATTGAACAATATAACTATTGTTCAAATTTAAAAAAAAGGTCTGTTAAGTCCTTCTGGCAGCACTAGAAGGCACCTATTACATGATGCCACTTTTCTTTGACAGATATTATGGTAACACTAGTTTTTAAAATTTTTTGGAGAACCTCTGAAAGCAGATGCTTAAAAATACACTGGTCCACTTTACCTAGACTTGACTCTAGTCATAGAGTGCCCTAGTGATAAAACTCCAGAAACTTCCTTTGAAGTTTCTTAAATAATAGCAAAACACAAAAAGCCACATGCCACTAGGGAAATAACTGTTCTTCCTGTCATGGTAAAACTTGCTGAAATAATTCAGGGAAAACAATATGGCAACAAACTAAAATGCACTCCTTTGTCACTAAATACTGTTGGAAGATGCACAGAAGACACTGCTAAAGATTTGAAGAAACAAGTGTTAAAACAAGTTACATAGTGTGGGAGGTTTGCTATACAGTTGAGTTTGAACGTAGAGAAGTTTTTAACTTCTCACACTTTGTGGTATTTGCATTTCAACAACAAAATGCACAAAAATATACTTTTTTTTGTGAGCCACTAAAGGAAAGATGCACTACAGAAGATCTATTCTCAACAGGAAGTAGCATCTTGAATAAAAAACAATGTATTATGGAAAAGCTGTGCAAATGTAGCTACTGATGGAGTGGCTGCTTTGACTGGAATAAGAAGGGAATTCCGGACTAAGGCTACAGAGATAGCACTGCACATGAAACTCCTTCACTGCCTCACTCAGAGGTGAGCTATTGCAGCAAAGCAGTTGGAGCCAGGAGTGCACAGTGTGCTGCAGGACGGCATCAATGTTATAACCTGACAAAAATGAGCCTTCAAACAGTGGCATCTTTACCAGATTTTGTAATGAGATGGGGACGGGCCACAAAAATCCCTGGCAGCACAGACAGGTTTGCTCTCTGGATAATTTGTGGCAAAGTGCTTCAAAGAGTTGTCTTTTGTAAAAAAAAATGTGTCAGGTTTGACAAGTGCTCCAAATCCACTGACCTTTTCAGTGATGACAAGTGGCTGTGAGCAGTTTGCTACCTAGCAGGAATTTCCAAAACCTAAGCACTCAATGTGTCCCTTTAAGGTGAAGGTGTCATTTTAATAATGACTAAGAAAGTAAATCCTTTGCAAAAGAAACTTGCATTTTGAAAACAGGTATTTGGATATGTTCACCTAATTATGTAATTTTTGGTTTGGTTTTGTAGGTGAACAAAACATGTGTCACCTACAAAAACCTCCTATATCTGTGCACTTTAAAAGGATATCAACCTTTCTACCTGTTAAAAACCTTTCTAACCTGTTAAAAATCTTCCCAAGGAGAGTTTTAGGGGGTTGAAAACACTGACATGCATTAGTTTGGAAGAAAAACTGATTGACATCGGGGGAGAAGATAATTTATTAGCCTAATTTCAAGAAAACCATTTGCAAAACTTGTGGATAGGACTGAAAAATGAGTATAGGTAAGTAAAATTACCTCTGTAATTTTACACCTCTGTAAGGTATCTTTTCTGGGCACCTATCAAGATCAAGTATTGAAATACACTGGATTGAGAACCAGGTATTCAAATTCCTATATCACAGTGTTAAAGATTTTAAAAACTATGATGCATCTTCAGTCATATAGATCTCAATAAAAAGTACTGTTATTAGCAGTAATCTTTTTAGATTGATAAATATTTAAAATATTTTAAAGTACTGTTTATTTCACCTTTATCTCATCCTTTTTAAACTTCTATTTTTATGTTTTATAATGTATATAACATACAGTACAGTGATACATTTACATAATTTATAAATGAATATACCCATATTGGGAATGTGCAGTCAGAAAATTTTTACTGCTGGAGTGCATGAACAAAAGAAGTTTAAAGAGCTCAGATCTGGATGATCGAATGCAAATGCTCTCTACTGAAAGCCGACACTTGTACAGAATAATTCAGTGGCTTTTCATCCATTCTTACATCCCTCTCATAGCAGCATTCTTGGTTTACCTGTGTGTAAGCAGCCCTCAGCAGAGGGGGTGACACCACTTTAAGGAGTTATTGAAGAGTTATTAATTTAAAGAGTCCAGTGCTCTTCACAAGAAAATGAAAGAGGCAGTGCACTGCATCACTCTATTTCAACATCTGTCTAGTAACATGTGTGTGTTTATGTGCATGGATCATTTCAATGCTGGGGCAAGGAAAGGATGCAGTAAGTTGGGAATATTTAAACAAATTTGTTATAATGAGAGAAGCCTTAACTGAAGGTTTGCATGAGGCAGGCGAATTTATTTAAGTATTGAATATTCATACAGAAACACAATAACTCTTGTGCTGCTCTGTCATCACCAAACTGAGAAGTGAAAAAATTTTGTATTAATCATACTAAATTCGACAGCCCCTGAGAGTAAAAAATTTTGGAAAATAGTCCAAAATTTTTTACCAAGCAGCCAAAGCCAACACAGCAGATTTATATGCTTCAATACTGGTTTCACAGTGAGCTGATAAAGATGGAGATCACACATATTAATTCTCTGACTACATGATTTCAAAAACAAGGATTATATTCAGGGCACAAAAGTGAGTACATCTGATCTCCTAATGAATATTTGACTCTTACCTTGCACCTTATCTGAACACAGCTCCTTGGCTCGATCCCTCATTATTTGTGGAATCAAAACATCTTTTTCTACATGTCTCAGCTTAGAATTTTCTGCAAGAGTGAAAAAAAAGATAATTTTGAAAAAAAAATTGTTATCCATACATCAGAAAGAGTCAATCTAAAGAAATAACACAACATTGTTTATGTAACATACAGGAGTATACTAAAACCGTCACAAACAGCAGCAGAAAATACCATGAAAAGACTATATAGACCAAAAGGATGGAAAGTCCAAAATTTGCTCAGATACAAATATGAGCATTATCCTGAATATTTCTACTCTGTTTAATATGCACTGTGAACCAAAAATAAAGGAGCAAATTCTGGCAGCACATTTGTATTTCTGCCTTATTGAATAAAAAATCTGTATACAGACAGCACAGCAATTAAATACTTTTATTTCTTTTTATTATACTAATATTTTTTTATGGCCATGATCTGTATGCACTCTTTCATTCACTAACACAAAGCTGAGAAAAACAGCACACACTAGAGCACAAGCTAGAATTTGTATGGCTATGTGGAAGACTCTGGTTCTTCAGAAGAAAATGAAGTCTCTTCAGGGGAGGATCTAGGAGCTTTTTCATTCAGAAATCCAACTCAAAAAGAGAAGTGCTGCTGCCTGATTTCTATACTTAGAAGTAAAGTTGTAGTTCGCTCTCAGCTGTCTCCAGAATTCTCTTGAGTACAGCTAGTGATTTAGAATAAACAACGCAGGCCATTAAAAAAAACAATACTGCTTTTCCAAATCCACTTTCTTCAAAACAAAGGGATGAGAATTCATCAAAAATAGTTTTTTATTTCTCAGTTTCTGAGTTTAAAACCCTTTAGAAGACACTGTATAGTCCAATGCACTTATACCAAATACATGGTTTTCATCTTGAAACACACTTTTTATTCATCTTTTGAAGCTGATAACACATTTCAGAAGAGCATCACTTGGGATGCTCACACTATGGAAATTCTACTGTCAGAGTTATTTTTGGTGACAATCATTTCAATATAAAATTACTCATTAAAAAGGAGATGAAATTAAGAAAAAGTGAAAGTGCAATGTATTGAAACTAAGGAAAGAAGCAGGTTTTAAGTTACCATCAGCTTTCAAACACTATTTTTCAGAGCATTTTTTGTTACCTCTCTACAAAAAACAACGAAACCAACATCTGTCGTTCTTAAGTCATCATCTTTTAAAGTTTACTAATGCTAAGACATTACATTGTGAGACTACACAGTACTGTATGTGATATTACTAGTGGAATCTAGCAACAACAGAGGATTACAACGAGCAATATACACTAAAGACATTTCTCCTCAAAAATATCCTTCTTAGCATTTCCACATCAGGAAAAAACCCCTTTATTCTGTACATACAACAGAAACACTAAAAGCAAATAGCTCAGACTTAGATTTGCTTCCATGCACGGATTTTCATATTAAAATACTACAAATGTCAGATTTCTACAAATATATTATTTTACAGATACAATGTTACAAATATCCTTCATGTTAACTTTCTGCAGAGCATCAGTGTACCAAACACTTGGTACAGTACATAGGCTAGAGACAAGACAAAGCTGTCAGAAAACTTCCAAGCACATTTTGCAAACAGGGCAAATCAGTTCAGTGGAATGACATGGCAGGAACTGGCACCACCACACTACGTGCCCCCACTCACTCCAGTCAAAGCAAGCTGGCACTGCAGCCTTCCTGCCCTCTCCCCATCCCTATGATCTCTTTTCCCTCTGCCCACACAGTCAGGCTCAGCAGCCCTTTGGTGAATGAAAGGGGAAGTTAATTTCCTTTAAATTAATTTCCTGTTAGGTTATTTTTCAACTAGGTGAATTCCCTGATCCTGTTCACTGTATAATTCCAAAGCCATCCATAAGAGGGAATTCAGTGAGATGAGGACAAGAAGAAAGACTGAAGTATCATGAGTACTACTGGCTCAGATTACAGCCTTAATTTCTGCTTCCCACACTTTTTCTAAACCCAACTTGGCTATCCAGGTGCTTGGAGTACACAAATACAAATGCAGATAGAGTGAATTAAGTGGGTTGCCTGCTGTCACCAAAAGGGAAGTTTTACCAGTGCCACATTGCCCTCACTCACCCGCATCACATCATCATTTTTAAGCACCTAACCTCGCAGTGAGTGAGCAAGTCAAAACAGAAAACTAACTCAAATACATGTAAAAAGGTGCTTCTCAGCTGATTCACACTTTGGAGTAATTAAATCCACTTATCCGCTTCCCATAATTAGCATCATAGAATATCCTGAGGTGGAAGGGACCCACAAGAATCACCAAGTCCAACCCTTGGCTCTGCACAGGTTTAACTTTTATACCACAGCATAGATGGAAATGTAGCAGAGAGGAGAGAAGTCTTCAGGGCCTGGGAGGAGCAGCTGGGTTTCCCCTGCTGGCAAAGCTGGCCAGAAGCATCCACGATTTTCACAATGCCAAAGCACAGGCCTCCAGTGCAAGGACCAGCTATCCCTCTACTGACAGAGAGGAGAAGTGGGTAGGAATGCAACTAAAGGAAACGGGACACAGGGCCAGCTGGGGAAAAACAAACAAGCAAGCAAGCAAAGAAAAAGAAAAGTAAAAAGAGAAGACTTCCCTGATAGCCCAGAACAGTCCAAAAAGATTGTTGGGTTTTCTCTTAGGTGAAACACCCAATCTTCTGTTTGATTATTCAAAAGAAAGAGGCGTAAGACTGATAGCAAGGAGAGGCTCTACTGGCGTTCACACCAGCACAACCAGAACCATGACAGAACTGTGCTCCAGGCAAATTCCTTCTTTTTAGTCCCATGTTGTCAAGTCTACAAATGCTGAAAATGCAGGAAGGAGAGGGCACATCAGGACACTGGGCAGCATCCAGTAGGCAGAATGAGAAGAGAGCTACAGGAGTAATTCAAAAGTAATTATACAACAGTATAAAGGAAACTACAGTAAACATTATTTATAAACTCATCTACAGCTTTTAGAAGAATCTCTGTTATGAAGTATCAGTTTCAATGGGTTTTTTTAATTTTAAAAAATGTTTGTATTTACAGGATTTTGCTTTTGTATTTTTAATTAGAAAATATATAGTACTTAACAGCGCACGGTAAAAATGATGGTGTTAAACCTAAGTTAAACCTACAGACTAAGTGACTATATGAAAAGTCCAAAGAACTTTCATTATCTTATACTGTCTAAGTTTCAGGCTCTGGGTACAACTACCTCTCCAAATAACCAAAATGCAGATGTTCAGTTTAACAGGACTGTACTTACTTGTGAGTTTCTACTTGGACATCTTAAATATTCTTCCTCGATTCTCAACTATCCATTGCTTTACAATTACAGTGATTTTCCTTCAACAATCTTAAAACACTTTACTGAAGTCAGTATCCCTAGGATTTACACAAAATATTTAAGAAAAATAAGGTGCAAATATTAAAAATAGCAGATACCAGATAAAGCAAATGTGTTCACAAGCAAAGTACCTGCACTTCTGATACTGATGAACAAGCACCTGCAAGATCACCATCAATTCAAGCTATTCATCTCTGCAGTAACATATATGGCAACAACTTTCACAGGAAAAAAAAAACCAAAAAACTCAGAAGCAAGACTTCATAAAAAAATAGGACACAACCATGATGTAAAACCATCAACTTCTTTTGCCTTTTTTCAACTATATTACAGTTTCCAGAATAAGAGCTTTTTCCCCCTTTTTAAAGTTCACTATTCTGCACTAAGAAAGCTACTTCTTACTCTAATACCAGACACCTGTGAACTAGTCCCTACAGAATCTGCATTTCAACAGTCTTACTCCTGCTTTATATCATCATGAAAATATTATTCCCAGACAAGCAAGAAATGTATTTTCCTACAGTTTGCCTTCTGCATTTGAAAGTTGATACTTTTGGTATCACTCACATCCTCCACACACTTTTCCTGGTCTTCTGGGGAGGCTGTTTGAGGAGATCACGGCCTTTGGCCACAAAGTGAACCACCACATCACCCCAGACAAATGCTAGCAGCAGCTTTTTCTTCTTCCTCTGCCAGCCCAAACCTGGGCATTTTTGTTAGATCAATTGAATACTCTGACAGTTTACCCTTACCTTACCTTCTGATGAAACTTCCAAGCACTATCAAACATTACAAGGGACAGATGGATGAACACAGCTAATCAAGTAAAGGTTACAAAACAAAGACTAAATACTACTAATGCTAAAAATAAGTATTTTGTAAAAATATACACAAAAGTTAGCCAGAATTAAAACCAAAGGCAGGCTTCCAGCTAAGTTACTAGCTCCTAGAAAATGTAAATCTACAAACAAGGAATCTGTGTGATAGAACTATTGAATGTTTCCTAAAGACTGATCAGCAGATTCCAGAATGCTCCTCTTGGGGACAAAGAACAGAAGAGAAAATAAAGAACAGTTAAAGAAGTTACAACTTTGCCTAAAAAGAAAAGACAAGGAGAGAAAGCTACAGAAAAGGGAATACCTTTGTGAAAGAGAAATTGTTTTCCATAAAACCTCAGCCCAGTGTAAAGAATTAAAGAGAGATATTACTTAACTAGGAGATATCCCTATTCACTAAATCACTAAGAAACATTTATGAAATCTGTGGGGTTTGGCAAATCTAAGTGTTCATGGTTCTCATTGAATACAATATGTAGGGGTCAAGATTACAGTTGCAGTAATAGCCTTCTGTAGTTGATCAAAACCCTCAGCTGCAAAAGCTCTTTATTGCCATGGAAGGCCAAGGACCACAGCTGGTCATTTTAATAGTTTCGGTATTTTTCTAAAAATGACCAAACCCCAAGAAACTAATATACATAAAGAAGAACAAGAACATCCCAACCACTAGAACACACCAAATTCACTCTGTATGGAAGCTGGCAAAACAGATGACAAATACTTTGCTGACTTTCTAGTCTCTGACCAAAGGACCCAGGATGGCCTTGAGAACACCTCAAGCACGGTGTAGAGCTGTGCTGCAGGCAGCAGACCTTTAAAGGGGAGAGGAGAATGAAATACAAAGCTGCATTACAGTCCTA